GATATATAGTGATATATCATTAGTTTTAAAAAGGAAATCAAAGTGAAAAAATGAATTCAATATAACACATTTTGCTTTAAGGATATATGCCTTTCAGAACAAAGTTTTATTAAGGATTTCAAACTAAACTTCAACGAAATCACACTTGAAATATCTGCATCTGGAGAAAAATAACAATCATTTTATTAGCCCCTATAATTCTTAGAGCCCTGACACTGAAGAGTTCCTTATAAACTAAGCAATATATCCCAACACACCTAAAGGTTCTGCATTTTACCTAAACCTTACAAATTGTGGAAGTTATCTGTTTTTTAAAGATCAGCACTTGCTTTGTTAAAATCTAGTAGTCCCTAAGCTTTTGTCTTCAGTAATAAAGATTAATAGAAAATAGAGGCTAAATGTGCCCCTTCAAAATGCCTCTTTTATTTTCTGTTAAGTAGGTGGGGGTAAATAGAGTATATTTGACAATTAGCAATGTTAAAAGAAGAACTTTAGACAGATTAAATTTAGCAGATTATTTAGATGAAGAATGAATCATTAATCAGGCAGCATTCAGAACCAGGAGAGATTCTGAGGGCTCCACCCAGCAGCATGGACAGACAGTATTTAGAGACAGAAAAAGGAAGTGATGTACAGAAACACCTTGATTGGTTGCAGCTGGGTATTTGCCTTATTTGGGCATGGTCTGATGAGGCGTTTGCCTTATATGGACATAATCTGATCAATTGGAAGCCTGTGATTGGCTGAGACTCTGTTGCAAGAATGTACTTTTAAGTTAGGTTGCAGTTTGTTTACATACTAAGTTAGGTTGCAGTTCACTACATGTGGAGGCAGCTCTAGGTCAAATTTCATTTAACAGCAAGAAGCATTTTTGCTCAGGGATCCAAACCATGTGGATAAAACCACTGAGGTTAAGGATTTCCTCATCTAAGAAAGGTTTGCAATTTCCATTTCTCATGTCCAAATATGACAGTTCAAGTTATGTACTTCAGCAGCTGTCTTTATACCTTTGTGTCTTGGTTTCCACATTTGCAAAATGAGAAGGTTGAACAATAACCTCTCAGGTTCCTTATAGCCCTAATAGACTATGATATAACCAGGGGGAAAAAATAATTATGAATACAAAAAAACATTTTCAGGATAAAATATTCCAAATACAAACAAAGGTTAATCATTTTGAAATATTTGGTAGGCACTCATGAAAATAAAAATAGGGCAGCTACTTCTAACAAATGTATTAGAAATGTGTCTCAAAAAGATTTCACAAGCTTAATGTGGTCAAAGAAAATATTTTCTGAGCTCATAGTGTTTCATTGAATTTAGACCTCCTTCTAGCTCTGTCATGTCACTGACAAATACCATCTTTGCCCTGTAGAAACCAACAAGTAATGTTTAGGGCATATCAGAAATACTTGGGGCCAGCCCGGTGGCGCACTCCTACAGTGCGCCGCTTGGGAGCGTGGCGGCGCTCCCGCCGAGGGTTCGGATCCCACATACAGACCGGTTCCCACTCACTGGCTGAGCGAGGGGC